TTAATATTTATCTTTTTTCCTACAATGACTTGCTTCTTTAATAGTATAGTCCATGTAAACCATGGTTTTGATACGTACACGCAACTTGCTACCTAATTTTTTTGGTGTCTGAAAAACTGCACAGCTGACTAGCAACACCTTCGTCAAATTACTGAAACTGAGATTTTGTAGAGTACATGATAAATTATGTCCACTATAATAATATAAAATTATATTACTCGGACTGTGTAGTGGAGATAAATGTTAAACTTCCCCCCACTTTTTCAATTCAGATCCATGATGATATAATTATCTACTCTGTTACAATAACATTCAGGTCTGGGAGCTGACAAATCTAATGAAGATAACTGGTTATCACATCAGATGGCATTTGATGATTTGTTGTCAAAGCTTAATGACAACACAGAAAGTGGAATTGGTGAGTTTCCTAGACAACTTGAATTCACTTGAAATAGCCTTGATATCTGTGTTTCTGATTAATGACTTATGAAAAAAGCTCTGAAAACATGGATCATAAACTTCTGGCCCCATTTGTTTGAACTGTGAAAAATGCTAGCATCTGGATAGATTTTAATCCACTGGATAACGCAATCAGTTTCCCTGATACTTATCCACCTGATAACTTAACTATCCATCATTTGAACAACCAGCATCTGGTGACAGATGCTAAGGAAGAAGGCCCTTTTGTTTATATTAAATTGAGGCCCACAGTGCTGAGGTGCTGAGGTGCTGAGGTACTTCAATTTAACCACAGCAGAGAGCCTCCATTCCTTACCCCTTTCCTGGAGGCCTAGATCAGCCAAAAGTCACAGAGGCTCGATGACTGAGTTTTTGAAACGTTATTCCCCCCCCCCCCCCCCCCCCCCCCCCACATCCTCCCTCCCTACCCCCTTCCTGGAAGGCCAAAAAAACCCAAAAGACACAAGGGCCCATGAAGGAATTTTTTAAAACGTTTTCCCCCCCCCCCCCCGCCCCACCCAAAAAAAGACAAAACAAAAACAAAGTTGTGAGATAACAGCAAAGCATCCTACCCCATTAACAATTCTATTATTTGCTGTTTTCGTTGACATAGGAGAAGGCAAACCAAAGGGAAAGGCAAAGAAACATGACATGGAAAAGACAGCTCGGCAGTCAAGAAAGCGAGTCTTGTAGGTGCTCCTTATGTAGATGTTGTACTGTAGGTAAAAATGAAATTCGGGTAAAATAGTTTCAGTCTAGGCTGAATTCAATTCCCTTTGTTTCCTAACTCTAATATTATTCATGACTGACTCTGTAAATAAACTGTGTCAAGAGTACACCTCAAGTTAGTGGTAACTATCAATAATACCATGGGTGTGTCAATGTACCCTGGTTTCACAAGACAGTTTAAGTCTCAACCAAGGGTAACAGCATTGTACTTTGGTACCAGGGGCCGATTTAAGGGTAGGTCCGAGGGGAGGTTCCCTTATTTGTAAAATTTTCCTTAACTATTAAAGAATTCTCAGTGAAATAAAAAGCATCTATATAGCTGGCAAGTGTTGCGGCCACCCCTTTCTGAATTTTTTGGATCCGCCCCTAAATACTCTTTTTCAGTAATCACTCTTTTAGTTGTGTTTAACAAACTATCCTTGTTTTGAAGCAGACTTACATTGTACATAAAAATGTTGTTCCCTTTATAGCTACAATCGTTTCATTCAGAGCAAAGACTTATCATCAAAATCTGCTGAAGACATGGCATGTATCTTTGGTCAGCGAAGCAAGTCAGCCCCTGGAACTCCTCAGGATTATTCAGAGGTTGTTATAAACCCAAAAGTACTTTAACTTTAATTTGTAGTGTTAAATTTTGTTTCGTTTTCTGGTTTGTAGTTTACTCTTTAGATTAATAGTAAAACTATTTTTCTTGAAATCTTGGTTTACATACTTGAGTTTGAGGCAAAGGTGTGTTTTTTGTCTTGGTGGATCTTACAAAGACGCAATACACATGAATTCAACGTCTTTCCAGAAACGTAACTACATTCAATATGAATCATCAGTTATCTTCTCTTGACTACTCCCGCTTTTTTTCCTTATAATCATTATAATGCTGAGTAGTACAATTAAATAGCTTTCAAGGCTGTCGAGTTTATAATGCGCGATAATTATTATTAAATGTAGAAGGTAAAAATCAGATATTTGTGTTTGCTGCAAACAAACTTACAACCTATAAGATCCGCTCTCAGTATGCTCTCTTCAAATGAACGAGGAAATTAGAGAGATTTAAAGTCACGTTTACGGTAAACGGCAAAAGCGGATTTTTGCCACGTGACCAAGTTTTCACTCTACATGTACTTGTCTTTAACTGTTCTTTTCTTCTACAAAAAATGAGTAGTTTCACGTGACTTGCAGCCAAAAGAATTGTTTTAGAGTATTTCTATCTGCTCATTTTCTATTTTGAGAAATTCTCAACTCCAGTCTGCCCTTTGCCGTAAAAGTGCCTCCAAATCTCTCTATTGTATGAACGTGTCTGCGCCATATTGGGTAAATAGGTAGGCCCTTTAGCTGCAATAAACTATCTAGCTGTCTGTCTAAATTCTGTATGAATCTTCAGTGGAACTTTTCAATGGAAACCTCACGAGAAATAGATGGTATAGTAAACACCTCTCGTATTTGTCTTCCTGTTTCCCGTGTTAGGGTGAAGAGTCAGACGAAAGCACATCGTCTTGTCCGCCGCCAGCCATCCACGGTGTCAAAACCATCACCTCAGGCCAGAGTATTCAAGAATACTTTGAGAAAAAGATGAAAGAATTAAAGGCCGCGAGGGAGGGTAAGGCAGCGGGACAAGAGATGAACAAAACGGAACAAGCATCTGCAGATGAAATTCAGGGGAATAATTCGGCGAATCCAGAAAACTGTGGGAAAGAATCGAAGTTAAGGAAAAAGAAGGAGAAGAGACGAAAGAGGAAATTTTCAACGGAGAATCCTGAGCCGCAAAGCGAGGAAGTTAGTACAGAGGTTGATAAAGATGAGCGCTCCGCAAAGAAAAAGAAGAAAAACGAGGATTTGGACGTAAAACTCGAAGAAAGCGAGAATGTAGTCCAGGAAGCACGAAAAGTGGAGAAGAAGAACCGGAAAAGAAAGGAAAAGAATGCTAAAATGACAGACTTTGAGATTTGCGACGTTGATGTAATTCAAAGTGACAGCAGAGAGTGTTCGACAATGAAGGATGTGAAACCTATAAAGGAAAAAGACAAGAGCTGTAAGAACAAGGACGAGAATATATCTCGTGTAGAGAAAAGCGCGATAAAAGACAAGAAGGTTAAATTGGAAAAGCGAAAAGACATTAGTGAGGAAGAAGAACGTAAAAACAATGACGGAAAGAAAGGGAAAAAGGATAAAAGTTGTATTTCTCATGACTTGGCCAATGTTGAATTTGTGGCAAAAAAGGATCGAAAGAAAAAGAAGAAAAAAGACAAATCTAAAGAGGGCAAGAAACGTGCATAACAGATGATAATTGCTTATTTCCCTGGATTTCAGAGGTTATTTTTTCAAACCGTCAGCACATTTTATTTCATCCGTAGGTATTTGGGGAACGGACCTCTGGAGCAAGGGTAATTGCTTATTGGAACGAGTTCACCACCTCATTGTGTCTTGTCTAGTCAATTACACCACTATTTTTAACGTCCCTTAATTTTGTTTAGAATTTGACTGCTGTCGCGAACGTACACGCTTCGAGATATATTCATTTCAACATTTGTTACACTAGGCAATTTGTCTTGCATTTTTTGTCGCAACAAAATTTCGAGAAAAGTTGTCTTAACGTCGAATGATGATCGTCAGTTTGTAGAGTTGCGTCGAGAACTGATGTATGCTAATGGCCCATGCTAATGCCATTCATGCTACATTTAATACCAAGTGTCCCCTGGCCAGACTCGTACCCGGTCGCTATTTAAGTATTTTTTGGGATGAGAGAAGATTGGGGATGAGGTTGTGGCGCGCGCGGTCTTATCCCAAAAAATACTTAAATAGCGACTGGGTACGAGTCTGTCCCCTGGCCCTATTGTCAGTGGTCTCACTGTAATGTATATATACCCGCGTGCCGTTCATGTCTGGTTGCGACTTCCTATGAGTCTGGTTCTAACAGGATGTGTGATCTCCACTCTCTTCATTTAAACCCGGGGCCCACCTCGGGGATTGCTTGCAGGTTAATTCCGCACGGTGGGGCTAGCAGGTTCATACAGAAATCTACCTTGGGGCTTAAAAAATGTGAGCAAATGCCCCACCCCAAGAGAGAGAGCAATAATTACGGGAATGCTTAGAACTGACTGAGCTATAGAGTGTTTTCACATGACGTCACGTCAGCCATATTGGTGTCCCAAAACAATGAAACGGCGGCCATGTTGGTGTCCCAAACCAATCCTGTGGGAGATGAACTCTTTTCTTATGCAAATGATTTCTTTTGTTCCAAGACATTTGCATAGATGCTGGGCACATGAGTGAAAACACTCTATTAGTGTCGAGTAGTCAACTGTCGTATTACTTGTCTTCACCCAGAAATACTTGTTTTTCTTTCGTAAGATTTTCCCTGTTGAATTATTAAGCAACCGTTAATTTCCCGGTAAGGTAACTAGATAGCCTTCTCCGTAGGTGAGAGGCGCTCGCATAATGAGACATCTGTGAATTATTCGTCAAGAGTGCTCAATTAGTCTCCCTCGCAGCCGTTTTTGTCTCGTCACGCAACGTTCTCTCCGGAGAAGCAGAAGGGAGGAGCGTTGCGTGACGAGGAAAAACGGCTACTAAGGGGACTATGGAACGATATCTCACTGGAATCGCTGTAAGTGGCCCCAGACACACATAGCGGACAAGTAAACAGGCAGCAGAATTCAGGCACGATTTTTTATTGACAACTCGTTCGTATTTTTAAATTGAAGTAGGAAGCGTTCCTTTAAATCCTGATTTTTCCTGAGGGAGGGGGACGTCTGTACGCAGGCTACGCAGACTTCCGAAGTTCTCAAGAAAACGATTTTAATATGACCCATGCGGACTTAAAATATACGAGATTTTAGGGAATGATTGGTTCCAGTGTTTTTTTTTTTACCCTAAATCTTTTCTGTCGGAAAATGAATCAGTTAAACCTGTAACAGCTCAAAGGTTTCTGCTGGTCGTGAGGAAATGATCCGTAAGCGTGAGGTGGCGTCAGATCGAAGTTTTCGATCCACAGGCGAGATAGAGATAGATAGTTTATTCTGATTAAAATCGCAGCCAAAAGCTGAATTAGATTAATCGTTACAATAATAAAATCTAATAAAAATATGAGAAAAAAATATAAGAAAAATGTACACATAAGTAGCTAAAAATTTAATTACAGTTGCTATAAATGTGTTCTTAAGTCTCTTCGTCTTAGCCAGAAGGACATGAAAATTCCTCTTTCGTCTTAAATTGGATTCAAAATTGGTACGAGGTGGCAAGAGCTCATGCAGTTTATGGTCTGAGTTACAAGTGATGGAATCAAAAAGTTTAGTTGTGATAGACTGCCTGCGTCGAGAGAGCGTCTCCAAGTTGGCTAGATGTAATGCGTCGCTATATGGTACAAACGGAAAAATAATTCGCATGGTGCGCTTCTGTAGCCGTTCTAGCTCTGCGGATAAATAGGCGTGAGACTTTGTTGCGTGAAGCGCGAGATCTTGTAACCTGCACAAACTATTAAGAAGGCGTTATTGGAGGCTCTCAGACGGGTTTCAAGGCCCAAGAGCAAAACACGCGAGACGAGGTAAAATGGAATAAGTTTTTCTCTTTTCTCTTTAGGTTTACCATGTTTTATCATCTGTTCATTCACTGTCCTGTCCTGATCTCCACATAACTGGAAAAGTGTCACTCGTGTAGTAAGCATCTCCAGGTTTCATGTAACCCTAAAGGAAAGCTAAGCGCGGTCTCCCAAGGCCTATTGGCGAATGTTGCATCTTCTCCTAGCCAGCGAGTGGCAATCACTTGTCGTCCAGAAATGTCAATAGTTTGTTTGGCGCCATGAACAGTGAGCATATGAAAAGCTATGCAATCACCGGGCTATGAATAAAGAAAATAAAATTTAAGATAACACACAAGCCAGCCTGCAAGTTGACTTTGTCTCACTTGAGAGTTAAAGACGTCCCTTCATAATTTGGCTACTGCCTTCTTCATTCAAAGCTTCATGCTGACCTGCAAAGCCAAATCATACCAGGGGTTTATTCTGGGGCGTACCCCCTGTAATGGCCCATACGGAAGGCCCCGCCCGAAAGGGGTACCTTTTTCATACCTCAGGTATTTGAAAAGGAACGGATTTCACTAGCTAAACTATATGAAAGGGTTGAGAAATCTGCCATTGGAGTTTGTGAAAGGACCTTAAAGAGCCAACAGGCACATTTTATGGCAGTGAAAAAGACAAGAAAAGTTTCTGGTTTCGTGATTTATTCATAATTGAAAAACGGTGCATTTACAGCAGTTAAAAGAACTGCAGCGTTCTACACAAAGGATGTGAAAGGGGTACCATTGGCAATAAAAGGTATACGAGAGGGATACCTTCCCGCTCCGAAATGGTATGTAAAAGGGAAGGGGTTGGACCTCTGGGCAGAGCCTCCCTTCTCCCTCCTTCCCCTCTCCCCCTGGTGGGGGTGAGGGGGGCAGGGCGGATACGTGTAACTTGTGCAACCTGCCATGACCTTGCTTAAGACCCTTACTGATGATGTTGGTTTAGAGAAGAGGAACTCAGGACTCACTCCATGTGAGCTTAAATTCTTTGGCAGGTCTGAAATATTATGCCGGCCAATTCAAGGTCTTAACCCTGACTCATAGCAGGGATGAAATTTAGGGTGCATTTGATTACCCTTAAAATTCTGGAACAGGAAGACACTCTATTCTGCTGTTTTCTAGGCAGTAGTTCAGCCATTTCCTCGCAAAACACATGAAATCTTTGGCCGTTTTATCCCGCTGAGCTACCGTTCCTTCTACTGCCCCTTATCTTTTGATTATAAGTACAATATTAGTGTCGTGCTGATATCGGAAAACATCCTCTAAATCTGGTCAGTGCTAAGCTGGGTATAATTCAGGCTAAGCAGCTGCTTAATTTAAGGACTAATGTTTTTTTATTGTTCTCCGAAAGTCGATCACTTAAAAATTCACTGGTCAGTAACCTATTGTACCTCTAGATCCCACGAGAACAGTTCATACTTGTCTGGTTCTCCGTCTATGTCAGGGATAGCTTCAAATGCTTCTTGTTTGCTACAGCTAGTGTTGGAGTCATCAATTAAGTTGTAATTTTTTGAGGAAGCAAATTTCCTGGGAATGAACCACTTCCCCCATTTATGAGATCCACCGACATATTCCAAACAGGAGTCTTTAGATACAGGAGTCACTGGTAGCCATAATGAACAGTTCTGTGGATATATTTGATATATAAATATGGGCATTTTATTTAAATTTTCAGGATCCAGGATTTTCTGGATTTTTTACCTTGATGATCCTACTAAGTCCAAATAATGCAGTGTTATACCTGCCAAGTGTCATGCCTAAGGCGTGATTGACACACCTGCGGATCGAAAACTTGGATCTCACGCCTACTCACGCCTGTGTTCCGATTTGTCACGCCTAGTAGAAAAGTTTGCGCCATTACAGCAAAAACTGACACATTTTGAAAAATATATTAATTATTTAAACAAACCAGAACCAAAGAGAGAAAATTTTGAAAAATATATTAATTATTTAAACAAACCAGAACCAAAGAGAGAAAAGAAAAGTCTATGTAGATGATCGACTTTCTCCAAATTCTCTTTTTTTAGTAGGGAAGTCAATGTTCCTTTGTGTTCCTATGTTCGTGTTAGACGGAACTCTTCGTAACATCTTTGGAAGTCTTCGGAATGTCTTCGGACATCTTCAGATATTATCGGACCCCTAAGAAAAATCTTCAGTGGCACTCTTAAGATAAAAAATGTCATGCCTATAAACGAAAAAAGGTTGGCAGGTATACAGTGTGATGTAGGTACCTTTCAGGGGCCAGTAATACATAAATCTTAACGTCGGACATAACAACCAAAATCTGACATTCGCCCAATCAAACTCTCCATTTTTTTCAAATGAAGCATTAAAATGCTCTATGTATAAGCACTTATGACTAACATTAAGTCTTATGCAACTGTCCCAAGGCTTGATAACGGTTCTTCTGGTTGTTCACGGCAACAAGTGCATTTCACACTTAGCATAACAACTAGTCTTGTCTGACCTGATGGGTGGCACCTAGGCAAGAATCTCTCTAACCTATACCATGCACCTTATCCACCACTTATTAATTCTTTCATTTGTCCATGCAGCACTTATTCAGAACTTCAATCATCATGTGTGAATGATACATGAAGTAGCATGTAATTGCTAATTCTTTCTTTTTCTCTTTTTTGTCCAAAACTGATAAAAACAGCAGAGAAAGAATTGAATAAAAGTTTAGAGCATATTAACTAACCTCTCATTTTATGCTATTAAGACAGGATTGCAACTGTCCCAGGCAAGCAGACTTTGATAATTATTTTAAATTATTTTCAAGACATGACTCCCTACCCCTAAGATTTTCCATTGACTTGGTGGGGTTGTTGGCAGGCAGGGAGGGAGGGGAGGGGGAAGAACAGAATTATACTTTCCAATAATACCTTCCTTCCATTCACAGGATAGTATGGTTGATCTTGGTGCCATGGTGTCCCACGTGTTGTACCAGGATCTTTAATAAACACATGTTCATGAAAAAACACTGCAAACTTCAAATTAAAAAGAAAAGATTAATAATAATAATAATTAAAAATTTATAACACGCCTTTTCCATGCAAATATGATCAAAAGTGAATGTAAACAGCAAATGTAAATATACATGTAGAATCAGTCGGACTGAATTAGTGCTGATTCACCCTCAAACTTAATTGCAAACTCTCAACATTTGATAGTTTAATTGCATGTATGTTGGTGGATATTTTTTGTGTTTTAGCCTGTATAGCCTGTGTGGCAAGGGTTTCTGTGCACTTTCAGAGCAAAGAAAGAGGAACGAGGGTCAAAGACCATGTGAAAAATGGGGCAAGTAAGTAAACGAGCAGGGTGGGGAAGAAAGGAAGGAAGGAAACTTTCTTCCTTTCCCTTTCCATCCCCCGCTTTCATTTTTTGGCTCTTGTTCCATTATTTGCGCAGCCAAAACTGAAAATCACCTTCCTCTGTCTTTCTTTGCTACAAAACCAAACAGAAACGCTTGCTATGCAGGCTAGAGCCCATACATGTACAGTGTATGACATTTGCCAGCAAACTTCTAGCAATACATTTAGTGTAACTGCAAACAACCTTTCTCTATTCAATGCTAAAAATACACTGTAAAGGGGCTTTTAGTTGCTTTTTTTTGTAGTTTATTGTCCTTGACGGATGGGATGCAAGTTATCCACTGAGAGCCAAACATGTTATTTGCTTACTGCAACATTGGTAACTCTGGATTTCCATTCTACTGTAATTAATTGTGTATTAATTCATTTAAATTGAGCTACTCTTTCTGCAAGTGATGGCATTGTCACAGTGACTACTCAGAGAGGTGGTCGTATGGTAACTGGGAGAACTGAAGAAAATTTAACGTATTATAAACTGCAATGACCATGCAAAACCTTAAAATGGTGTGTCATAATCTGAATTGAAGTTTCAATACATGCATGCTTACTGAAAGATTGGAGAAGACAAAGTGACGGGGAGAATGAGACAGGGAGGGAGTCACACACAACATACATTGGGAAGCCTGTGTACAGCCGAGCCCCCTATTTTAAAACCTGCCTTACTTAGTAGTTGGGGGGTGGGGGGTAAAATATGGGATGTCCCATGTACAAACAGTATGCCAGGTAGCTTGGCAGCATACCATTGATTGTAAGCCCTGGGATTACACAATGTTGTAAGGTGTTTGGATCGGCTTGATTCAAATAGGGGCAGGAGTAAGTGGGGGGGGGGGGGGGGGGGGTTGTGGACGCTCGCGATCGTTGGTACATACTGTCTCTTGTATTGGGTG